ATGGGCCAAGTAGATCACGAAGGAAGGCTTTCAGTCCCAGTGAGAATTTTCTTATTTCAAATCAAATCAACACCAACATTTAAGAAAATGGCATACAAAATGCAGGGAACCCTTAGGATCTACGGGCCCATTTGAAGTAATATATAGCCAAAGGAAGTATAAAAACCACTGAAATGGAACAAGAGCTACATTTCTCTAAGAGCAAACTTGGCTGGCATTTAAACCAGGAATTCCAATTCAGATTGGTGGAGGAAGCACTCACATAATAAATCTGGACGAATATGTGTTTTATTGTTATAAAGTAATTAGTCTACTGAACAGGTTGTCTCCTTAAATTGAGAGGTGCATTTTGTCTCTGGAGAAATGTCAGAAGATAGGATTTACTGTGCTGTTAAAAGAATACAAGATTGTGGAAGTGAGGTGATTTCTCACTTTGGAGTCAGCTGCATGTATCCAAGGGCAAACTGGCTATTGGTCTACCTCTATCATTGTTCTCTGCCCTAGCTTTGACCCTCTAGATCAGCAAAGCAACATCCATTCACAGTATTATGCCTGTTAATTATTCTTCCCATTTACTACTACTAATGTGAAGCTCCCTCTCCAACTTGAAATCTGACTCCTGTGAATTTTTTTTATTTTTTTTGCCTATTTTCCTTGTTCACATTAATTTGGCTCTGAATGTCCCTTTACTAAGGCAGGCAAATGGTAAAATACACAATCCTAAATAAACATTAGTCATTCTATAGCTTTTGTATTGGGGGGAGGGGAGGGGATTTTCTCAAGTAAATAAGGAAATACCAAAACCTTGTTAAGGTGGCTCCAAAAAGTTTTAAACTTAATAGTCATTCTCCGCTAGTGGTACTTCCTGGAAGTCATATTCATGCTGCTCCCTCATGTAGTACAACTGAAAAGAAAAGCATTTTGTTTAGAAGCCAAAGTTCCAGGAGCATAGATTTTTTTTTTTTAAAGACTTATTTATCCATGCATACAAGACCTGGGGTACAGGCCAGAGACGCAGGGGGTGAGAGAATTCACCAGAGACAGTGGGGAACAGAACAGGCAGACTGACTGAAGTACACTGCTGAGGGGAGCAGCATATGAGACAGGAAAGGTCTGCACCATGTGGGCCACTCCCTGGCCGGGGATTGAACCCTCACTGCAGCAGCTATGGACAACTTCATAGTGTGGCATATTAACCAACTGTGCCACCAGAGAGGTCCCCAGAAGCATAGATTTTAAAGATTTGTTTCAGTTTCTCATTTTAACATGTCATGACCAGGAGAAGAGCAGTCAAATAAATTATCCTTGTAATATAAAATCTGATTAAAGGATTGAAACCAAGAGGAACATGATTTAGGATAATCTTTTTTTTTTTTTTTTTTTTATAGAGGCATGTTTTTTTTATTTATTTGTTTGTTTGTTTTGTTTATACATGCACTGGGTACAGTCAGAAGCGCGGGAGGGTGAGAGAATTCACCAGAGCCAGAGCGGGGAGCAGAGCAGGCAGAAGGACCGAAGTACACTGCTGAGGGGAGCAGCGGGCGGCAGGAGAGGTCTGCGCGCCATGTGGGACCCTCCTCTGGTGGCCGGGGAGCAGCCGGGGATCGAACCGGCGCTGCAGAGGCCGCGGGCAGCTTCGCAACCCAGTGCTCAACCGCTGCGCCACCGGGGAGGCCCCGATTTAGGATAATCTTAACTCTTTTAAAAAGACATCCATACACACAGGCAAATAAATATGCATATATGCAAATATGTATGATGGCAGACTAAACTGACAAGGACAATCCCTTCTTCCTCCCACCGTAAGTAATAAAATATTTTGACTTAATTTCTGTTTCAACATAGCGCCAAAAGAACAAACGTTAAAGGAATTAAACACCAGGTGCTATAAAGGAACACAAAACTCTTAGGTCTGAAATACAAGCTTCCTACGGCTTGGAGTGGAAAATAGGAAACAGATGTTGGGTCCTGAAAGGAAAGGACCTAGAGCAAAAGTGCTGTATAGCGCACAGAACCTTAGAATCTTCCCTGCATCTCACCCAATCAGAACGTGCTTGCCACACCAAAGCTAAGGCAGACACCTGCTAGGGCTTTGGAAAACACTTGGAAGTGACTTGTGAAAAACACACACCCAGGTACCAGTGTTGCAGTGGATTTTCACCACCACCAGGTGAATCACTGGAGAGCTTGGCAGAGAAAAATTATGTACCACAATCGCCAAAACATGGACCACTCGTAAAATCAACAACCCTTGCTGAAGATGAGTTCATAAGCTTAAAAAACCCCATGGGAACCATACCATCCCTACAAACTCAAGAAAATAAGAATATAAAATAACTATGATTAAAATGATTTTCTAAAATGATGAAAACTAATGAAAAAAGGAACCTGAAGAACTGGCAAACTTGACAGAAAAAGAATCAAAGACCACTTCAGAAATGAAAAGCACAGTCAATGAAATCAGACACTCAGTAGATGGGATAAACATTACATGGGCTGAGATAAACACAAAGGTTACATCACAGAGGAAACCAAAACATACAAAGAAGCATAGGTTTGGTCCTCCCCTGGTGGTGCAGGCGGTTGAGTGTAGCGCCGGTGAGATCCCAGCTGGCCGGCAAGGGTTCCACATGGCACTGCAGACCTTTCCTTTCTTGCCTGCTGCTCCCCTCAGCAGTGTATTTTGTCAGTCCACCTGTTCCGTTCCCCGCTCTGTCTCTGGTGAATCCTCTCACCCTCCCACACGTCTGGCCTGTACCCCAGTTCTTGTGTAAATAAATAAATAAATCTGTTTAAAAAAAAAAAAAAGCCTGAAGAGATTCCAGAAAGAACAGCTAACTGAAAATAGTCAGTAAAACAAAGATTTTCAGCATATTCTTAGTGGAGAACACTGAGATGAGAAGCTGAACAAGAGGAAAAAATAAAACTGCATATAAAACTAGTAGTAAAACAAGACTAAGACAAAAGAATGGGGGGGGGAGCAGAATAAACTAATGCTTGTCACTAGTAGCTCAATAATCCAGAAATGTGCTTTTATTTATTTTTTTAAAGATTTATTTATTCATACATACAAGAACCTGAGTACAGGCCAGAGGTGCAGGATGGTGAGAGGATTCACCAGAGATAGAGCAGGGAGCAGAACAGGCAGACTGACTGAAATACACTGCTGAGGAGAGCAGCGGGCGAGACAGGAGAGGTCTGCCACGCCATGTGGGTTTGCCAGCCAGTGGGGATAGAACCCGTGCTGCAGAGGCTGCCTGCAGCAGCAGCTTCACAACACTGTGCTCAACCTGCTGCGCCACCAGGGGAGGCCCCAGAAATGTGTTTTTAAAAACTAACCTCCACAGATGTAGAGATAATGAAAATACAGACCCAGCATGTGCTCCTTTCCCCTCTGCCTCAAGCACCCTGTGGGAAGCACCCTGAGTGCACTTTGTTCTCAGAAAACCTCGATTTAGTGTTGCCAGTCTAAATACACTTTAACAATCCACTGCCTCACATTGTCAGGAACCAAAGTGTATTATTAACTGAGTCCTGAATTTCACTAGAGTATTCTTCTGTATCACAACTGCCAATTTTTCTTAATTCCTAACTAAAGCTAAAGTGTTTATTTCTATAACCCAATTTATCTAGCAATAAAGTACCTAGTGTGCATTTTGATGAGAAGAACCCCATCTTGTGGCAAAAATTTTTCACAACCAAGTTTGGCGAGGAACTGCCTCGCCATTCTCATTCTGAAGACAAATCTGCGTTGAGAAGTTATCATTTTATCTGCTTCAAGAGACAGAACTTCTAACCCAGCATTTATCCTGTGTCTCTGATGGCACCAGAGTATGTAGTAAATCTGCAGAGCACAGCAATTCTGGGACTCTGAATTATTTTCAAGTGAAAGCTGGTAGTCTTTGCACAGCTTGCTTTACTGCAAGAATATTTTAAGAGAAAACAAACATGTACTCTGGGTTAGCATGTGAAATACTACCTATCATTTGTGAGATGTGGCTTTCCTATCAAGAGATTTTGAAAGGTCTTTTACTGTTAACAGGCTAACAAATATAAAATTCTGAGCACAACGGCTGGCTCAAAAGAAATCAACCCTTGTTTTTATTGTGATTACCATTATTATTAAAAACAGTAAAAAGGGAGGTAAAATACTCCAAACAGTTTATTTCCACTTATCTTACTCAGTGTCTTAAAGAAAAATCTAGTTCAAATGAGTCAAATGTTTCATAAAAGGCAAAACTGAAATACTTATACCTCCCCCCAAATGTTTTTAAAGTTAAGACAGTAAATTAATATTAAAACAGCTTTATTTTGTTAATGTCACATAAGAAATTTAAGCAAGTTACACTAGCTTAAAAAACACAACTACCGCGTTTTAAGAGATGCCCAGCCCTCCCCCAGTCCCCTCATGAATTATCTAAGAGAAGTAACCATAAAACAAAGTTTTGCGGAATCCTTCATCCATAGTTGCTTACATGATGATTAGGTTAATATTGCCTTCTTACAAAATTTCTCTTCTGTTTTTTTTAAAAAAAAAATTGTAGCCTTGATTGTTATTACAAAAAAATTCAGTACAAAAGTTCAATATATTGAAAAATGCTTTTCCCCGCCCTCACAGCACCGTTGTATATAGCAGAGAATAATCAAGAGCAGATTGCTAATCTAGATAGAGCAATCTTCATATTATACCCAGACACAGTGGTTTATTACCCTTCCCTCCCCTTCTCACAAGAACTTAAAAAAAAAGAAAAAAAAAAACAACCCACATACACAATACAAAAAATGTCAAAAAATTTGAGGAACCCTTTCCAAACAGTACAGATAGTTCAGTGTCGATAATTCACATCTTGCAACAAAGTGTATGGATATGATTTCTTTTACAAAACTTTTCAGTGTCAAAAAGAAATTAAGGCCATCAATTCGCAGCTTAAAAATTCACATAAAGGAAATATAAAAATATTCTGTGCTTCTGAGAAGGCTCTGCACTGTATGTAGGTAAGGATTACCATACGTCTTTATTTTGAGGAAGACAATTGTTCTGAGAAGTTTACATAATTGCACAGCTTCTATTAGATGCTCTTGGAGTTCCCTGAGGAAGAAAACAGAATGGAAAAATCAGTGCTAAGAAAATAAATCACAATACTTTAAAAGATGTCAACAGAGATCTCACAAATCCATACTACCTAACTTTAAATGGATCCCTATCACTTCTCACTTTTTCATTTTAACACTGTCACAAAGTTCTTCCCTAAAATACTCCCAACAAATTCAAATCTGGCTGCACGTTCAGATCCCGAGTGACTTAAAGAATTATGGGAGGTGGAGATGACTCCTTCACATGGCAAAGAGAAAGGCGACCATCAGGCAGAAGAGCCCCAGGGCTTCTGAGATAGCAGATCCTAGAATGGCACAGAAGAGCTGTTGCTTCAGGGGGGTTCCTGGCATAACCCATGATGAGGCACCTAGTCTCAGGCTCAGAGAACTTAGCTGCTATGTCAATGTCCCTTGAAATGGCGCTTGTTGGGAAGCTACGACTGAAAATAAGCGAGTTCAGCGGATGTGAGGCTGCCAAGATGTCACGGCTATCATCTGTCAGGGTCTCTGGTTGTTTCAGCACCATAGCACACTCAGCAGCTGAGGTGCTCCTGACCAAGGATGGGGTGGAGACGAACTTGGCTCAGGCATAAAACATTTTCAGGGAATGAGGAAATGTAGCAGGAGAGCTGGCCCAGTGCAGAAAAAACACAGCTCTCCATTTCTTTATCACACATTAAATTCCTTAAAACCCTACAATATAACTTGCGAATTAACACTTGAATTGGTTTCTTGAAGGTCACTCAAAAGCCTCCTAATCAACTCAAAAGGCCATTGGATTCAATCTCAAATCTAAAGTTAAATAGCTGAACTGCCTTTCTATCTTCCCTCTTCTGAACTTTGATAGCATTATTTTGTCTCATCGCAATAGTTAAAAAAATCAAAAATCTCACCCATCTGACTTTTTTTCCCCTTCTCTCACCTTCAAATTCAAGTACAATGCCTTAATGAGTTTCTATTTAAACAGTCCCTCAGTATTTCTGCAGTTTCCCTTCTAGAGTCAATCCCTGGTATCTCGTAAAATTTTCCCTTGCTCCAACATGCACAGTCTACTCGCGTAGGCATCCCAGACTACGTTAATTTAACACTAACCTTGCAATTTCATTTCTCTCTCACACATGCTCTACAGTGCAATGAGGTGTACAGACATACTCAGTGCTATTTTTCCCTCATCCTATCACAAGTCAGTTGTCATGTTGTAAGGAACGCTGGGCTAAACTAACTAATGAGAAACTACATGGAAAAAAAAAGACTTGGAGACATTCCAGTCCCAAATTCCCAGCTAAATGCAACTTCATGACTGACTGCATTCTCTAGTATGTGGCGCAAAAGAACTGAGCCCAGTCAAATCACAGATCATGGTATGTAAGAAATTACTGTTTTAAGTCATTGAATCTGGGATGCTGCTGTTAGTGTAGCAACATGTAATTCAAATCCTCTCAAAACATCATTAAATAAATAATAGCCGCTAACTCTTCACAAATACCGGACAAGCATATTTCTGTGAGCTCTTCTCAACTATGTTGTCTGGAAAGCCTTCTCCAGCATCTGGTATACTGTCTACTCACGCTCCAAGCCACTTACTTGTCTGGCCCACTGGCGTATCTCCTATACTGTTATAGTGCTCCAGTCATTTTAATGCTTCTCACTAAGGACAGGAAATAGATTCTTGTGCTTGTTTCTTGTTAATGCCAAGTCTCAAGCATCTGTTTTTAAATATGCCTTCAAAATGCCCGAGAAGGTAGCCAAAAACTCATTCTACCTTGTATAGCCCACCTGAAGCAGTTCTCGACCCTGGGGACTAAACATATAAGAGAAGGTTTATTTGGAGTAGAACTGGACTAATTGGGAAAAAAATTGATTAAGATTATAAATCTAGAGACATAAAGAAGTCTGATAAGGATAGGAATTCTGATTGATGATCAGATTCTGCTTGCGAACAAAAACCTGGGATTCTTTAGTTACTAATAATTCCAATTTAATAAATCAAATTTGAAGTTTCTTTATTTCAAGAGCTCTCAAAAGCACAAGCATCAGCTAAAATATTGCAATTGGATGATTAAGAACTTAATATGACAAAAACTTTGTTTCACAAGGAGCTGAGTATTACCCTTTATGTTTATATGCAAATGCTTGCTCTAATACAGTGATTCAACTTTTCCAACATGTAACCCTTTGGTAAATAATTCAAATCCACATTCTTATTTTAAGTAATATACATGGCCCTAATATACTATATATGTGCATTATAAAATAACAAAATTGAAAAAGTTTTGAAAAAGTTTTGAAAGTGCTAATATTTTTTTCCAGTACCCTAATCTGTGATCTTAAATGACCGTTATAAAGAACAAACTCCACTTGAGAGATCACTGATCTGATCTATCAAGTAATAGTTTTGAGTGTCCACTGTAACTCTGTTGTAAGAATTTAAAACAAGTAATACCTGCTGGTGGAAAAGTTCTTCCTCGACAGCCACCTCAGCTGCTTCTTCCTCCTCCTCTTCCTCTTCAGGTATGGTTGTCTTAAAGACTGTACATCTTTGCGCAACTTCCTAAAGATAAGAGTGGTTTGACTTATAAGTTAAAACCTACTTAAAATCACAAGGGCTATGGAGAAGGGGGACCTTTTCTTTGTTTAAGTTTAAGAAACAGCATTCCTATGCCAGGGAGTTTTTGTTTTTTTTTTTTAAGCTGTAGATCAGTAGCTTTTGCTACTGAACAGAATTTTTGCATAATTAGTAGCAGTTCTTATATCTTCAGTATTCCCTGCAGGGAAGCTACTGGCTTCCAATTTGAAATACCTGCTGAGAGGTTTCCACTGCTTTTATTCCCATCCTGTTGACTAAGAATTCTGTAAATGATTTGAGACATTAAATTCTTTATAACATTCAACATGAATTTAGCTAAAAGGTCTAGCTTCCTCACAAAAAGGTGCTGAAAGTAAATGTTGAATAAAATAAAGCTGGCGGTCAACTGCTGTGATCTCAGGGAACGTGGTGGCAGGAGCACCTGGTGAGTGAGATGCAAAGGACAAGTTCCTTTTACTCCTTCAGCAGCTGGTTCCACTTGACAGAGACAGAGGTGAAATATTTACTAATAAAACATTGGATGCTCTAGTGTATCCTATCATTTACTGGAGATAAAACAGAAAGTAACTGTTTTCATTTTCTACTGAAAGATTCAAATATTGATCACTTTTCTGTAGAGAATACGGACTTGCATAAACACGAAGTGAACCTGGGATCTGCAACAGGTATAAGGAGTGTCCTAGAGGGTGCTGCAGAGCAGGTGCACCATGACCTAAGGTCACCCAAGAAAGAACTCCACAAAGACAGACATCAAACATGAGTCGGTAAAAGCAGTGTTGAAATTTAACACAGACCAGCAAAGGAACAAAACAAAACAAAAAAACCAACCCCATGTCATAGAAATAAGACTTCTATAAGTAGTTAAGTAGGAGTTTTGATTACTGTTGCAGAGTCATGGAAGAGACCATTTTCAGTCTCGTAGCCAGAAACTTCAATTCTGTGAGATCGGTTTGCGTTTCCACACACAAATAGCCACTTCACATGCTGGCCGCGTAAAATGACCACAGTGGGAACATTTACACAACAGATATCAGCATATGCTACAAATCAGAGCAATATATGTAACCATTACATACACAAGTTTCAGTTATGCCTATATTCTAAAATGTATAGAGTCTGCTTTAAATTTTATTTCCCTGATAGAAAAACATTTTATTCTACCATGATGACAGGTACTGTTCTTTCCACCACTCAACACCCTCTTCCTCGTTTCTCAGTAAGAGTCTCTGTTTAACCTGGGTGCCCATCTCTCCCAGGGAGAGGCGGTATGTGTGTCATCCAGGAGCCACATGTAATCTAGCTGTGAGGAATGAAAAAGGCTCAAACTCTAACTCCATCCTCCAGGAACTGGAGGCTGCGACCCAAGCTACTACTGAGCAAAGGCCTGGATGGAGATCTCACAGGGGAGGATGCTCCTTCCTGTAAGAAGTCAACTGGCATGACAAACCTCCAAGAACAGTTCACAGCGAACCTGCACCCATGAGGGAGACAACAGAAACCTAGGGGACACTGAACCAACGGATCAAGTCCATGATCTTTAGGTTTGGAGTTACATGAATCCATACACTCACATTATTTTAGGGGCAGTTAATATTGGATTTTCTGACATTTCCAATGCCTCAGCAAGAATAAAAAAAATATTAACTTAAGCTAACTACCCACAATCTCACAGGAAAGTAGTCTTGATGGTAGTAATTAGATTGTTACAAATGTGGTCTGGGACCTACAGATAAATATGAAACATGGTCTTACACAATGAAATGAATGATCACCAAAACTACTTGTCTTAAAATCAGAAATAAGTAAGAACTGTATTCATGATATTTCCCAACAGAAATCTGTAAGAAGGACAAAACCAACCAAATACGCTAACATTTAGTGTTTTGGTTTATGAAGGGAAATCAGAGCTTCATCTCAATACTACCCCTCAAGACCCAGGCCCCAGCATTTACTTTGTTTCCATGTCATTGTACCCATTTTGTGAGCTTTTAAACCTTTCCCTTTCCAAATATCCTCCTGTAAAATTGTTTCTAATTTGAAACACATTTTCACATGGAAAATAATTGTACTGCATGTCAGCTAAATTCCATGACTCACAAAAGCCTATTTCATCTGCTTTATAACAATGCTTTTCAATCTGAGCAGATCACCACTGGTAATAATGTTTTGAAAGAGACTTGTATTCTGCCAATTTCACATCAGGGGGAATTCCCACTTCAGGAGCTACAAAAAGTCTAGTACTTGAGGGTACCTGGAAGGATTCCAAGATGCTAAGGCAGGAAAGCAAATAAGGGCTTTCCAAACAGAGACCACCAAGAAGATCTAGCACCCTAAAGTCTGTGAAAGATTGGAGGCATTTGTAAACTACTCTCCTGCCTGGAAAATTACCAGGTATTTGGAGGTAAATTCCCCAGATGCACCCAAAAACCTTATACAATCGTACTGAAGTCCTCAGTTTAAAAAAAAAAAAAAAATCATGCCATTTCCAGATCAGTCTCAGCCTGAGATCAAAGACACTCCTCATTTAGTAGATAATGAATTCCTTAGGAAAAGCAGTGTCAACCACCAGCAGATATTTACGATGGGGATGGATGTGAAGATGGCTAGGCACAGACCTGATGCAAAACCTACAAACTCCCACAATTACTGCTGTTAATTACTTTATTTCTGTGAATTTAAGTGAAAGTACATGTTCGATTTTTTTTTTTTAAATTTAGCTAATAAATTCTTACTGAAAGCCTATTAGGTGCCAGGCATGCTGCCAGAATAAATCAGCATAGGTCTTTGCCCTTAATGTGCTCGTTACCGTGTGAGAGAGGACAACGGACAAGCACTCTGCAGAATAAGCGGCTGCACTTGGCATTAGAGGAAAAGGACACCCAAAGGGTTACTGCACACTTGGTCCTGCAACTCCTCCCTCCCTTGCAGACATTCACTTCTGACTGGGTGTATGTCAGGTTCTTTGACATGAATTCTAAAACTGACAGTTGAAAACAAACACAGTAAAGATCTTTAAACCCAAAGATTTCACAAGCACAAGATTAATAATGTAGACATTTACTAGAGATTAGATACTGTTCTAAGTCACAAGGATTGCCTCATTTATAAACTTGTTATCTGCATTTTAAAATGAGAAAACTAAAAAGAGTAAAGGATCTTAATTAGTCACAAAGCCAGTATGCGGTGAAGACAAAACTGGACACTGTGTGAGACTCTTTAGTCTGTGCAAATAATTAGTACTCTACAAGATAATCATATTTCATTCCTAAAATTTAAAGGCAGCTTCACTTTGACTTACTCAGCCGCCTTGGTCAGATTTAAGCAATTATTTCATATTTCAATCTGATTCTGAAAAGAAAAATACTGGCATGATGAGCTTTCAGGTGAAACTGATGGCTAGAGCTACTGATAGAATGTCCATACCTCTCCCTGAGAATTTTTCAATATAACCTTCACATCTTCGCCAGTGCCCCAAGAGTTCTGGTTCTTCCAGATGAGGTCGGTAGGAGGACTGGCTGTGACACCAGCATTTGCAGCCCAGATCTGGAAAACAGAAAGGATGTGAGTTTAGTCTACTCAGAACCCAGTTCTCTCTCATGCCAACACTAGCAACGTAATGGTGAGACTTGAACACCCTGGACTGATTCTGTAAATCTCAGAACTATGTCCCAGCTTTCAACCCGCTGCATTAACTAGCCCTGTAACAAGACAACCCGAGCTTGTCAGCCTCAGCTTTCCTATCCGATAAAGATGCCGAAACCCGCGTCTGAAACAAAGTTTCCTACACTCACATCCTATTTTCTCTACAATCCAGCTGACTTTGAACATATTACCTTCCTTTCATTGCCTACAAATGAGACAGAAATGGCACTGGATTGCTGTGATGAACAAGTGACTTCCCACACACAGGAGCTAGAGCCCTCAATGAGAACTAGCTCTCATGTCAGCATGTTATCCTAGGGGTTTCATGGGATATCTTCTGTGTCACTGCCTCTCAAGCAGTGTTCTCCAACCAGGAGAGCAAGAATCAAGGAGATGACTGCTCTCAAACAGCATGCCATCTAATCTAGAACACTCATGGAAACTGTTACCACTCCAGCCAGAGACAGTATCACTACCCCAGAGAGTCAGACATTGAACTACAAGAAGAATACAGGAAAAGGAAAAAGCACCAACTGTTCAAGGTGGGGGAAATAACTGATATTGAAAGAGGCAAAACAAAGAAAATAATTCTATTTCCCTTCTCAGTAGCATGGAAATTCTGCCATATATTTTAACTATCTAATCGACAAATGTGTATACTGACTGTATATTGAAATAATATTTTGCATATCTTGCATTGAAAAGAATATAAGGCTGAAGTTAATTTTACACCTTTGCTTTTTTTTAAAGTTGCTACAAGAAAATTTGAATTACATTATCTAATTCTCTAATTTCTGTTCTGGAATTTTATACTGATCTTCACTATCACCTTGTACAGTTTTTCAAAAAGACCACTTATCATCCTCCATGTTCCACATTTAATGCTACCTACTAAAGAAAAAATACATTATTGCATATGATAATTGAGTTCTACACTAGACCTAAAGAATATGTATGAATTTTGTCTCTGAGGAAGTATACCCAGTGGAATAGCAGATGACTGACATAATGGTTTCACATCAGAGAAATAGAGAGCACACTCAAATCTGAATCTTTTCAATTAAAATGTCAGATTCTTTCCACCATATTATGCAGCATTCATAAGACACATAATAGAACTGAGCCATTTTCTCTCACTATAATAATTACTAAAGAGAAGGACAGTTTTCGTTCCCATTCTTATGCACTATTACAAAATTAGCACCTGGTATTTTCACAATATCAGGTTCTACAAACATACTTTAAAAAAAAGAGGTTCTAAGGTGTTTGAGCCTTTGACTTTAAACTCTGTTATCAATCCTTAAATATTTTCTTTGAAGACTTTTTTTTATTTATGCATAGAAGTACTGGGGTCTAGGCCAGAAGTGCAGGAGGGTGAGAGGATTCACCAGAGACAGAGTGGGGAGCAGAACAGGCAGATCTACTGAAACACACTGCCGAGGGAGGCAGCGGGTGAGACAGAAGAGGTCTGCTGCACCATGTGGGTTAGCTCTCTGGCCAGGGATCGAATTTGTGCTGCAGTGGCTAACAGTGGCTGGCGATAGCTTGATAGCACAAGCTTGATAGCACTGAGACTTAACCCCTGAGCCGAGGGAGGGCCCCAATCTTTAAATTTTAAATGTGTTTAATATTTTCGTAAAAGAACCAATAAAAGGAAATAGCAGTGACCGCAACATTCTTTGGGATAAGCATAGTGGACTTCTTTAAAATATGTATCAGGGGCCTCCCTGGTGGCACAAGGGGTTGGGACACAACCTATGAGGCTATCCACAGTCGCTGCAGCACGAGTTCGATCCCTGGCCAGGGAGCTACCCACATGGCACAGCAGACCTCTCCTGGCTCTCCCACTGCTCCCCTCAGCAGTGTATTTCAATCTGCCTGTTCTGTTCCTCACTCTGTCTCTGGTGAATCCTCTCACTGCCCACCCCACACCTCTGGCCTGTGCCCCAGTTTTTGTATGCATAAATGAATGAGCCTATAAAATAAAAATAAGTATTAAAGTTAACATTTGTATTGACTGCTTTTACTTAATGGTTAGGTTTAGCAAAGGAATCTTATGTTTGTTCAATGAAGCATTCCTCTAAAAACTGAGCTAGTATTATTTATTTTTCAAGACACAGTTATTTCAGAACACACCATGAGAACCATTTGGAACTCAACATACAGTTAGAATACTACAGAGATCATCTCTGTAAATCTAAAACCACATGTTGCCTTCACTTTATTATTATACATAAAGAAGTGATTCTTTTGAACAATACCTAGCAACTAAGAGCTTTTATTCAAAACACAAACTCTAACCCAGGACAAGAGATAGTGACTGGGTCCTGGACATCTAAATACTGCCCAGATGATTTTCATGTCCACCCCAGACTGAAATCTTGTCATTTTAAGGCATATTCGAGCATTAATAGCTTTCCTTCCTAGTAGTTCTCAATGGCAAGCAAGAATCTCTTCACTTATACACTGTGCTATAAATATCAGTGAGGAATTATTTTATATCTATTAGACTATATAAATAAAAAGAACTTAAAGATCAGTTCTTCAATTTTTACATTTCCCCCCCAATTATATTTCTTAAGGTAAAATTAGTTTACACCATTGTATCTGCTTTGGGGGTGTTAGGTTGGAACCTCTACAACAATGTATTTTGACACCCTGCTCACCACTACCCTTCACTAGTCAGTTATCACTCCAACAGAATTTTTAAAAATTTGTAATAGCACTTGTAATTCTTTAGTAATACAAAAGATGTTTTAATGTTCATTTCTAAAATGTTCTTCTTTAAGCCTAGTATTTTCTTGAATTCTGTTAACTCGTCGTTAGCATAATGAAGGTAAATTAAATGATGGGTACATTCACTTACCGTAACAGTCTGGCCTGCCTTCAGCACATATCTTGAGGTATATTTATAACTGACTGATGTGTCTCCAATTTTTCTGATCATCTCCCAGCCTCCCATTGGTTGATCCTATTCACAGAGCAAAATAAAGCAAGGTTACTCCAAAAATACACAAAATCATGAAATTATTAAATCTATCCAGTTAAACTTTATAAAATCTGTACAGCTGAATTAAGACAGCCTTGTGGCTGTCTTTCCATGATTTTCATTTTCTTACTATGAAAAGTGAACATGGTTTTGTCATTCAGCAAGGTAATAACTTTTTGACAAAACTGCAGTTAATTATTGAGGTACTTAATTTTAAAGAGGATAAAACTTGGGAGAAAAGGAATACGCACCAAATCAAGTGGCTATAGTCACTGCTAGATCAGGTGGGTCTTTAAACATCTACTATTTACTTTAAGCTTTTAAAATACAGGCACACAAGCTTAGAGACAGGAGGAAGAAAACAAGGTCTTTTCCTCCTACCCCCATTCCATCTCCGCCCACATGTAACTCGTAACTTCAAGCATCAGAGGCTCAAAGAGGCTCAAAGAGGGTCAATGATGCAGTGAGCCAAATCCTAGAGGACAGTTATCAATTCTAGCCCCCAAGCTATCCAGAGCTGCCGGACATCTGAGGAAAGGTACAGGATTTGAAAGCAATTAGCTACACTAATTTATACTCTTCTCTAACTCAGACATGAATAAAGCAGGCTGAGAGCCAACTTCAGTATAGCTCCACACGAGCTAGCTCACCACTACAACTACTGTCTCCTTTAGCTTTTAGAGTCAGTAAGAGGCCTTTGAGCCTGTACTTTAGCGTCACAACTGCTAGTGTTCCTTTACCCAGCCAAATTACTTATCCACAGCAAGATGCATTTAATAACTACGGTGAGAAAAGGAGTGATTTTCACAAACATTTGACAAACCCTGAACACAGGCTTCAGAAATGGCATCCATCCCATGCACCCCTGCCACACCTCCACCCTGCCTCTTCCTCAAGGATCCTCTCACCCGCTCACGACCCCCAGCACCATGCTGCCCAGCCAAGAAGGATCTTCACGACTGAGCTCTTCAGGGCCCTCCTCTAAATTCCAGAATTCCCTGCTGTTTTTTTGTGTTTATTTCTAAACAAATAATTTCAAGATAGAGCTTCATATTATTTTTGATATAAATTAAATCACTAGCATCCATGTAGAGAAAAATGTTTCCTGCATATAATAGGAGCAGGTAGCCACAGCAACTTTTCCACAATCTAGCGTAGGGCAGGTAATAACAACTACTCATGCTTAGGAAGGCGACTGTGGCAAAACAACCAGGTGTGAACAAAAGACTGGCTCTGCAAAGGAGGCCTAATGCAGAAAATCTCTAACCACTAAGGGCACCATCTCCTCCTACTTCAAGTTATACTTCAGTCTTTTATGAATTCAGGTAAAAATGAAGGAAGAGACTTTCTGTGAGGACCACTGAATCCAAATAAAGGCCGAGGAGATCTTATAATTACAAGATAAGTCACAATCAAAAAAGCTTCATGGGGGGGGGGAAGGCTTTTAACCTGTTCAGAGGTGTTCTTCAAGCGGATAAACTTCCCATCAACATCTATCTCTTCGATGCAGACATTCCCAGTGGCTGAAGCAGAATGAGAGATGCTAACACTACTGCTGGCCTCTGATTCTTCCACATCAACTCGCTTCCGCTTGCCTCTGGTTGTGCGCACACTGCGACTTGACGATGCTCGTGATACTGTCACACGGGAAGAAGGGCTTGGCGAGAGCTTCAATCTATGTGGGAGAAATAAAGCATTTATGAAATAGTATGCCCTCCCTGCCTTAGAAAGAATATCGAAATGCCCGCAAATTTCTAAAGCAAAACATAACTGTCAATCTGTTAGGTAGTATCTGGCATATCTTAACTAAGATGAATATATTTATGCTATGATGACAAACCATCAAGTTTCTTTAAAAAAAAAAAGGTAATTTGAATGTTTGCCCTAGGAAAATATAACCACAATGCAGTGAGTTTGGAAAATGCATGAGTCCACCTACCTCCTCTTTATAACAACTACTGTTACATTTAGTATGCTTTCCTTAATTGCTTTGCAACTTGTCTTTTTACAAAATTACAATCGCAATATACATAATATAATGTTGACTGGATTTTTATTCTAAATTAGCCACTTTACATTTAGTCGGGTTTTTTTCGGAACACAGGTGTTAAAAAGGATTTACACACTAGCCAGATTTAAAAAGTAAGTATAAAGCATCAGAATAAATCTGTTGTCCTACAATATATTAAACTGTCGAAATATTTAAAGCCTCATAGAATAGACTCTATCCTAACAGCATTTAAAGTAAGACTGCTTATGCAAATTTCCTGTTGTCAAAATAAAATCTATCACCACCTACCCCTACACCTAGGTGTTAACAGAAATGCCAGAGAAAATAAAGTTGGCGTGATTTTTTTTAACCCTACTTACTCTTCTTTAAATGGAAGGGGGCCGGGGAGGGAGACTGTGACGTAAGGGTGACATCTGAGTTCCTTACCTCTCTTCTTCACCTTCTAAGAGTTTCCTATAAGCACTGATTTCCATGTCCAGAGCTAACTTGACATCAAGCAGTTGTTCATAATCATTCAGCTGTTGCTGCATCTGATCCCTTATTTCTGCCATCTCCCTCTCTTTGTCAGTCATCATGCGCCGAGAGTTGTCTCTTTCTTTAGCAAGCAAGTCCTCCAGCTCTTGAACCCTCTCCGACCATGCTCTCGACTGCAGATTCAAGGAAACACAGTTACTCTCTAGGAACTTTCCAACATTAGCACAAGGCAGCTATTTTAAACCATTTCCCAGACTGGCAAACAAATAGAATCTTAACAAATCTCTAATAGAATTCGAGAGACTTTTAAGATATTAAAAACCAAGATTCCTCAAATACAAAATATTTGTGAGTAAAGTTTTCTTTTATAAACCACCAAGGAGATATTCATGAAATATAATTATCATAAATACACATATTTGCCTGGTTTTGGTCAAATAAAACCATTTTTAACTTGTCACAGACTTGGTTTTTCCCTGACCTTTTCTAAAGTCAAATCTGGCTCTTTGTGAGGCTTTTAGTTCAAAGGTACAAATTAATAAAGAGATATAACTAAAAAGATAGAAAACTCATTAACAAATGAATTCTAAGGGTGGTGAAAATCTGTGTTGAAGAGTCACCTGGAACTACTCAGAAACCAAAGAAAAGGGATTCTGGTTTTCTGTGGAGGCAGCACACACCACAGTACACTGATGTGTAGGCTGCAGGGTGTTCTTGTAAACACAGAAGGTATGTTTGGTATTTGGAAAAAAAAAAGAAAGAGAAATCACATATCCTACACCAGAAAGTTTACCTTAGAAACTTTGCAGTAGCCATAGTTAAGTGACAAAGATAATCAACTCAGAAAGACAGAAGGATAACTTAGCTCTCCCCTACACAAGCTACATCAGAACTTGCTATATCAGAGCAAGCTACACAGAGCCAGAGAAATCACAAGCTACATCAGAGCCAGAGAAAGGGCAGCTACTGTGCAAAATGAATCTTGGAGACTAGAGAAAAAGGAACACTACGTGTTACAGACACACCATTCTTGTTAGTATTTTGCATAGAGTATGTGCAGGTTAAAAATTTTTTTCCATTTTATACACTGAATTTTCATTCAGTATACATTTACGTGCATACTGGGGTTGAACAATAAGTAAATGGAATGGTAGAAAGCAGGTTCTTATATTCAGAGAGAAAAGTTGCAGATAAGAAAAAATGAAGCCTAAAACAAACCCTGTGGTGCAGGGTTAGTCAGAGACATCCAAATGAACTTATATTTGGCCTAATATGAATAAAATGGACATGTGTAAACATGGGTTAGCATATATCCACATAACCTAGCTCTGTCAGCAAGAGGGCCAGTACTGAGGACAACTCTCAGTCCCCAGATCTAAATTTCTGCATCGATCACTCTCCAAAGAGTAAATGTCTATGTAGATCATTTCTCCTTCAAGAAATGACTGTTTTGGGGTCTCCCCTGGTGGCGCAGCGGTTGAGCGCTGGGCTGCAAGGCTGCCCGCAGCCTCTGCAGCGCCGGTTTGTTCCCCGGCCGCCGGCGAGGGTCCCACCAAAAAAAAAAAAAAAAAAGACTTTCCAGGGCTGGGGTAGGAGATATATGAGAGTCTGGAGCATCTTAATAGTATAATTAAAAAATAATTATATCACAAAAGAGGAAAGACACAGTAGTCAACTTGAAAGAACTCCTAACTGCCAAAGCTGGAACAATTTGAACTAAAGTGATACTGCAGTCTTTACTGGATTATATAACCCAAAACATAAATGTCCATGAATACATTCCAATAAAAACTGAAAAAAATATAAAAATATGTAGGTATAGAGGGCCTCCCTGGTGGTGCAGGGGTTAAAGTCAGTGACATCAAGCTATTGCTAGGCTGGCCAGGGAGAAACCCACATGGCGCAGCAGACCTCTCCTGCCTCACCCGCTGCTCCCCTCAGCAGTTTATTTCAGTAGATCTGCCTGTTCTGCTCCCCATTCTCTCTGGTGAATTCTCTCACCACCCCATACCTCTGGCTTATACCCCAGTTCTTGTACGCATAAATAAATAAATCTTTAAAAAAATGTAGGTCAAGAAAAGATAAACCTTATCAAAAAATATCAACTATTAATTATAAATACTCCCCTTTGGAATGTGAAGTTTATTAATCCCTGGCCTTCACCCTTGAAGGTGGGCTGGACTTAAGTGACCAGTTTCAAGAACAGAAAATGGAAAGGAAAAAAAAAATAATCTGACAGTGGAGAAACCTGCTAACACTACCTTAATTGATAAAGGTTTACATCACCAATAACATTATCTCTTTGAGGCACTGACAACCCATAAGCCCAGTCTAATCATGAAAAAAACACCAGACAACCCAGATTGGGGCACAGAATACAGGATACCCAGCCAGTTAGCTTAGACTGCCATGGTCATAGAAAACGAGGAAAGCCTGAGAAAATGCCATAGGCCAGGAAACCAGACAGAGACATGTGGCACCGTGGAACAGAAACCCAAGTAATGGATACCTGACATGAGTAGGGAACCGGTAATGCACTGATGTCAGTATGTTACTTTAAAAGAAGTGTCATGATGATATGTTAAAGATCAGGAGAAAATGGGTAAGGGAGACAGGGGAACTATCTGTACTATTTTCCAGCTTTTCTATAAATCAAGAATTCTGTCAAAATAAAAAGGCTATTTAAAAATAAGTCAATTAATTAAAATCCAGTGTAGCATTTTCCATTCTGTAGCACAAGTGGGCATTCCTCTGAAGAGTAATATACTAACATAATCTGTGCCTCAGGGAACTCCATGTGTAAAAACCATGCTATTAAACTGAGAAATCTTCCCCCCCAATCCTTCTTTTATTTCCTCCCAAAGAAAAAAGATATTTTGAGTTCAAAATGCCTCCTCTTCAATCCATTTCTTCACTAAGTTCCCATGTGGGAGGGAGAGAACAGAATGCACAATGAGATGGAATAAAAGAGTTGAGGCAAGACATAAAACTACCCAAAATTCATAAACAGCCTCTTAGACAAGATTTGTAAATCTTAAAATATCTCTGTCTTGAGTATTATAGCGTTCAAGAGGGGGAAAAAAATATCAAAATCTAAGCATGTTAGTTTTAAAGTTACTATGAATTGCTTTGTATTTGAAATAGAAACATTTACATTGCATTTTAAATAGCTGCACTTTACCTGTTATGTAGTGAAATATAAAGAACACAAAATGGGAGCAAGATCTAGATTCTTCTTCCCATTTCTACCATTAAGCACCTATGTGACTCCTGGCCAGCCGCAAACAACCTCAACACACTGGGATCCACATTTGCAAAATAAAGAGAAAGAACTAAATTACCTGAAAGATCTCACCTCTAAACCTAAAATTTAATGACTGACAACTAATGATCTGCCTTTTTAAAGTTTCATTTGTGATAGCGTGTGCTATAATTTTACCAGTTGCTACAGTCTAGCTTCAACAAAAGTTTCTGGAGTTGGGTGTTAGAAAAATAAAAATTAAAGCGTTGTTTTTAACCTGTCACTGGAGACTTCTCTCTGCAAGGCAAGACTGACCAAAAAAGTTAATTTGGCCAGTTTCTAAAGCCAGTCGATTTCTAAAGGCTATGTCAATTCTAAGTAAAATATATGAAGTACTTTACTAATATGAGTCATACAATGGAAAGGAAATTCTATGGCCCAATAGGTAGCATGATGAAACTGCTGTGACTCAACAACAAATACTAGTAAGAGCCATGGGAAATACCGAGTTTTTTTTTAAAAAATGATCTCTCTAAGGCTAAGATTTGCCAACTGATGATAACACTCCTCAAAATATATTATTTATTCTAAAATATGATACCAGTAATGAATAGAGAAAGATTGCTGACCCTCACTCTCCCCCCACCCCTCCGAGAAATGGACAACTATCTGGATGAAGTAGGCACTTCTCTATTTCCTAAGGAGTCAGGTCCTAGAAGTCCGCAGGACCCTGCTTAATGTCATTCAAAAACCACTAACTTGAGGTTACAGAACTACTTGCAAGGACAGGAATATAATTAACTGGCAAATGGGAATAACCCTGAACTTGAGTCAGTAAACCTGGTTTCAAAGTCTACTACTATTTAACCAGGCCAGTCTCAGTCTCCCCACCCGTAAACGTCTGTAGTTAAGTCAAATGGATTAAGCAGCAGCCAAAAGGGTAGGGAAATAAAAACCTAAGAGACTTAATAACTAGACTTAATAAATCAGGCAATCTGAATTATTAAATGGATAGGCAGTAAATTTCAATTCAGTGTAAGAGAGGGCTATCTTGAAAAAGTTACCTGGTGAAATAATGCAACGGGAAAAAAAAGAACATTAAGTTCCTGAAAGAAAACATTCTTCCAGGAGTGATGTGTAAAGGAGAAATGTAGGAATTAGGAGAGAAACCCATTTAGCAGCCTGTAGCCTCTGGGAAAATAACTAAACTCACCTAGATCTGCAGTCACTAAGTGAACACAAGTCCTTCCTGTAATGTGACATGAAAATTTCAAAATAATATCAAGATGAAATAGGTCTAAAATAAATTTAATATTTATATTGTGAATCATAAAGAACACATGATAAACAACATAAAGTTTCTATTTTTTTTAAATCTTAACCTATTTAAAAAAAAAAACCCTGGGCCTCCCCGGTGGCGCAGCGGTTGAGCGCTGGGTTGCGAAGCTGCCTGCGGCCTCTGCGGCGCCGGTTCAATCCCCGGCTGCTCACCGGCCAACGGAGGAGGGTCCCACATGGCGCCCGCTGCTCCCCTCAGCAGTGTACTTCGGTCCTTCTGCCTGCTCTGCTCCCTGCTCTGGCTCTGGTGAATTCTCTCACCCTCCCGTGCTTCTGACTGTACCCAGTGCATGTATAAACAAAACAAACAAACAAACCAGCAAACAAATAAATAAAGCATGCCTCTATTTAAAAAAAAAAAAAAAAACCTTACCCTATTTTATCTAACCCACTGTCTACTTTGTTGACTAAATTCCTACAATCAATGTCTTGGTTTTCTAATTAGAATAAAAAAGCTTTACTGGAAATAGTAAAAAGAAAAATAAGAAAAGCCTAAAGATTAAATGTGGGTATCTTAAAACAAAATTTCCCCTTAAGTAAAACAGAAGTTGAAGTTACTTCCCAAGTAATTATTAAGACATTCTGAATACCTATATGGTTGTGTAAGTACTTTGTGTACTTATCATCATCATCCTTAAACTGAACAAATTTCAAGTGGTGTTCACACCTGTTTAAACTGCACCCATGGGGCCTCCCTGGTGGCACAAGGGGTTAAGCACAGCACTGTGAAGCTATCCGCAGCATGAGTTTGATTCCCAGGCGGCCAGGGAACTACCAACCTGGCACAGAAGACCTCTCCTGTCTCACCCGCTGCTCCCCTCAGCAGTTTATTTCAGTCTGCCTGTTCTGCTCCCTACTAGGTCACTGGTGAATCCCCCCACACACAGCTCTGGCCTGTACCCCAGTTCTTGTATGCATAAATAAATAAATCTTTTAAATAAAAAATAAAATAAACTACACCCAGAGCCCCATCACATATCAGCAAACATCAGATCAACACAGTTAACAATTACTTAGGTTTACAAGTGAATGGGTAAGTCACCAAAATCTTAACTAATACCCAATGAATGCTATTTCCCCAGACCCTAATTACTAGGTAGTTTGAGCACTAAGATAATGTGTCTAGAAACAAAAAGCATTTACCACCCACAGAGAATTTCTGCATGTTTTTCTTCACAAAATTTTCCAAATATGATCAACAAAAGAGTACACTAGGAAGAAAGCAGTGTGGAGACGAGGCTGCTTGACAGGTCAGAAAACCTAGATGGTGGGAATAAGCCCAGAGAACCAACCAGGAGTTTGCTTCCTCAGGCATAACTCCCTTAGCTCTGTGTAGTCCATTAACTTAGTAGTAACTGCTCAGAGGATGATTCTACAACACAAAATAAAAACACCCGGGAGCACAGTGAAACCAGAGTGCATATAACACCAGCCTGTCTGGCAAGCAGAGGAAGGAGTGCTATCAGGCAGAGTAAAAGAGTAGACAGATCAGCATGGTAGAGGTGGCCTTCAAGTTCAGCCTCAAGATTTAGGGGAAGATGCTTACTGACCTCTTTCTGTAGATTAGAAAGCTGAGATGAAAGACTCTCAATTCTCATCCGACTTTCCATTAGTTCTTCTCTGGCACTGTTCACAGTAGAAGTATTCATCTCTGAGGATAATCTGGCATTCTCAAGCTAAATGAAAAAGCAAGCCATAATGAGTCTTAACTAGTAAATTTGAACGAAAAAATAAGGAAGCATGATTCACCTCAAGGAGTTTCATTTCAAAACAAAGTCATGCTCGCAACTGGTTGACGAAACAACAGGAAAAGCATCATGAGGTTGCTGATGTGGTGTAAATTGCCTTAAAAGTCTTTCTAACTTTTGGACTCAATTCCCAATGTATGAGCTTTAACAATGCTAATATACCTGGGTGTTTACCCAAAGTTTATTTCTTCAATATTTCACCTATTATATCTCAGGTAATACAGCTAATAAGGAGACTGGGCAACAGCAACGAGACTGGAGATGTTTAGAGGAAGACAAATATCATATATCCCTAACCCACTAAATCTACTACAGAATATAAAGCAATAAGCAATCTATAAATATAAGCAATATATTTATAATAAGCAATCTATAAATCTAATTTACAGATTAGATTATATATAATAATATATATAATATATTATATATATTATAATAAGCAATATAATAAGCAATCTATAAATATAATAATAAGCAATCTATAAATCTAATTTACAGATTATTTCAAACCAAATAAAAACACTTCCTTTCAGAAGCAAAAATCAGCTCCTCAGATAAAAACAATACCCGTTCTTCCAAGTACCCATGGTATCTGTTCTGTGTGTCTCAGCACATGATCCTAACATTGCCATCTCTTTCCTGGTTCCCTTTGAGGGCCTAGGCTATGTGACTGATGCCTACTTCAGCTCCTTCACTTCTTAACACAATGACTAGCATCAAGTAAGTGTTGTACAGTTAAAAGTATGGCTTAAAAGGTCTCTCCCTCTCACCAATTATTACTTATGAAATGGATTAATCAAATTATGTAACATTTATCAAGATCATTTACCAGGAAAGCCTGCACATACTGGTGATTTTATGAAATTTTGCAAGGTCTGCTAATATGAGTGGAAATTTTCTAACACTTTAAAACTGAATATAGCAGAGAAAGAAATAAGACTTCTCATTTGACTTTGTTCAAAAAAGCCCAAAGTATAGTGGTCACAACTGATGTATAGTGAGGACATGGAAACCAGAGCTAGCTGCAAGTCGATGTGCATTTACTATTAAATGGAAGTAGAAGACAGCATGATTAGTACTTATTACTTGAAAAGAAGTATTTCCAGATAATTTATGTTAAACAACAACATAACATGAATGATCAACAGGACAAAAACCCCTATCTGTTCATTTGTAATTTCTACAACACTTACTTTATTGAAAAGTACTTTAGGAAAAAAATCCATTTCCTATGTTCATGGAGACATAGAGAATTCATTTAAGAGAACTAGAATAAAGCAAACACCAATAAATAAATAAAGCAGTCACCAGGGTGACTATGACGTGATGGTTTCAGGTGTTGAGCCAATGCTCAAGGAGACGCTCACCTTGGCGTGGTACGTCTGCTCCAGCTCTTCCTTGTACAGTTTCACTTGGGCATCATGCTGCTCTCTCATCTCATGAAGGGCCTGAGCCAGCTTGTACTCATACTCAATCTGACGCCCAGAATCCACCTCTACCAAGCGAGTTTCATGCTTCCTCCTGGTCTCATTAATCTCCTGGAGGAAGGGGGAAATAACATAAAACCAAGTTATCACAATTGCACTGACACAAGTCTGAGTAACACCAGGGCCACCTGAAGTTCTGCACACCAGCCGCCTCTGTTCAAGGTCAGGCAACGTGAAGAGACTAATTTTGTGTGACGAGATTGAGATGAAATTAATGACAACAATGATAGTTAAGCCCAATGAACTTTATGTTTTTTTTTCAGTGGCATAGCTATTTATTTCTCTGAAGGCAGGAAAAGGTCTGAATGATTCACTTAAGTACCATACGATCATAGATAACTATGTCTACTGAACAGTAATTGTTTTATCAATGATCGAAGGACAGCTCTTAGATTTTAAAAATCCTCATGAAAAACTAAATGTCAGACAACTTCAACTAGAAAATTTATGCATAACAAAACTATTTTTTTAGACATACAAGACGCAGGGAGCAGAGCACACCACCTTACACAACTTATTTTAGCAACTGCTACGCTATCAATGTGAATATGAAATCTTATTAACAAATTAATATCTCAAGTATGTATGACAATTCACTATTAAAAAAAACAGAAATAGCAGGCGTGACCAGTCACTTTGTTTTAAAACAAAGACTAGAATGGCTAGGAACGCAAGAGTAAAATTTCCATGCCAGTTTCTAGCTCTGAAAACACAAGATGTCTTTAGTGGCAATAATTACAGAAGCCACCAGAGGGGGATAAAACCCACTGAAGTTCTTGTTTCTGGCATCTTAACTGCATGCAGTTTGTGCATTTCAATTCGTTGCACAGGAAAATGCACTCGACAGAATCAGAAAATCAATTATTTGAATTCCAGTTCTGCTATTAACCTCCCAGAATCCACATCTATTTAATGAAGAGAATACTTAAATCATGAAATCATACAAATAATAAAAGGTTTATTAGCTCCACAAATGTTGAATACCTACTAATGCTTTTGCCCTCTGTCTAGCCCCTGTTCCTTCTCCTCCCTATTTTTCTTCTTTTGCTTTCTTTCCCACTTACTGTACATAATAAGGAACTTAGGTATATTCAGTGAACAGAATTATATCCTCCACGTAAAGAAATAAGGAATATTGTACATTCATTCTCAAAAAAGCAAACACCAAAAATTCTAACATGCCACCACTCAAACTATTAAATTATGTTTTACTGATGCTACTTTTCATTTAGCACTTTATGAAGAATCAGTGACTTGCAAATAACAAAAACAACTAACTGCTGGTTTAAAGATGCAGGAGTCCACAAAGAACATCAAAATCAAATCATGATAATCAGGGGCAATTATATTTTTTTTTTATTTTTTTTTTTAGAGGCATGTTTTATTTATTCATTTATTTATTTGTTTGTTTTGTTTTTTTGTTTATACATGCACTGGGTACAGTCAGAAGCGCGGGAGGGTGAGAGAATTCACCAGAGCCAGAGCAGGGAGCAGAGCAGGCAGAAGGACCGAAGTATACTGCTGAGGGGAGCAGCGGGCGGCAGGAGAGGTCTGCGCGCCATGTGGGACCCTCCTCTGGTGGCCGGGGAGCAGCCGGGGATCGAACCACCGGCGCCGCAGAGGCCGCGGGCAGCTTCGCAACCCAGCGCTCAACCGCTGCGCCACCAGGGAGGCCCAATCAGGGGCAATTTTAACAAAACAAATATAAGTCAACAGATAAGTTTAAGATAGTTCCCTTAATAATAGAAACAAAACTGAGGCTAACATTTTAATAGTCGTATTTATCACCGTTTACAAGGAACTTTCAAGTACTCTAATCTACTGAGATGCTCACCACTCTTTAAAGATAAGATATTACTGTTTCATTTCCATGTAAGAAATGAATCAAGAGTTGTCCAAAGTCTGAGTGAGCTAGCGGTCCACTTTGTCCCAAACAATACCTAGTGTGACACTAGGTAGTTATAAAAATGGTCAGACCTTTATTATATTGGGTTTCTTTTCTCCAATTATTTTTTTCAACTGCTACAATAAATTCTTGTTTTTAAATCAAGTCACTTTTCAAAATCATATTACCTGTAAAAACATTAAGTATCTGTAAGTTCTCCACAATGGGCTTATTATAATGCTCTTGCTTTTGAAGAACTACATCTTCTTTGGTGATACTAGGTAAGGCTAATAAATGACACTTTAAAGTGTATACTGATAGACCTATAGATGTTAAGGGTAGCCACAATGGCCCCCAATGGTGGCTGCCTCCTGATTTTCACACCCGTGTAATCCCCTCCCACACTGTATCTATGTGATGGGCACTGATGATACAGCACTTGTGATTAAGTTATAGAAGATGCTGTGGCTTGTCTGCTTGTGCTCTTCTCTCTCATCACTCACTTTTGAAGGAAGCCATGTCATGAGCAGCCCTATGGTGAAGCCCATGTAGCACTGACACCTCCTGCCCACAGTCTCATGAATGAGCTGGAAGCAGTCCTTCCAGCCCAGGGTGAAAGCATGACAGCAACTTCATGAGCACCCTGAAATATAACCACCCAGTTAAGAGCTCTCAGATTTCTGAAGTTCAGAAACTGTAAAATATTAAGTCTATGGTATTAAGTTGCTAAATGTTGGAATAATTTGCTAGGCAGCAAATTATAACTAATACAAATGCTTAACCATGTTGACAGTAACTAGCTGCTGTGACCATGCCTTAATAAATTAGATGAAATGAAATCATATCTGTGTATCATAACAGACTAAATTCTTATATGCAGCCTTTTGGCAGCAGTACCTTGAATAATTTACCTGCAAATTTTTATAATTTTTTTGTATATATAGCTATAACAAAGCCATTTGGGATACCCCACGCCTTTAAAAAAAGGTAAAATCACATATAATTACCTCTTCATACATATTTTTGCGAAACTCCAAATCCTCGGTGAGGCTCTGACAACGATTCTCCAAATCCACCTTAAGTAAAGTTTCATCTGCTAACTGCTTTTTGGCAGCAGCTAAGGAGGCTTCCAACTAATGAAAGAAAAAAGAATTGATGAATATTACACAACCATCATCTAGTAATGAATTTAAGATACCTGTAGATTAAATCAAGTACAATTTCTATATAATATGTACCAGTGTAAGAGTTTCTCATTTTAATGCGTATCACAAAACTGTGTTCCACTGTGGTCCCACCCAGAGTGTCACATCATAACACCTTTCAAATTTAGTAACTGGTAACAGGGAATGGAGAGTGGCCTCTTGCAACTCAAATTTCAAAGATCAAACTAACAATTTTAGCTACTACTTTTCATTTTTCCAGTATGCAGAGAAGTATTATGATACCTTCTCTCTTCTGACTGCACGTTTTGGTGCAATAATGATATAGGGTGGAAAAGCAAGAAACAGAATGAGCATAGGCACGAGAGAGGAAACAAAAGAGCAACAAAATTTGCATAATGCAAACACAACGAGAGGGATAACAGAGGAAGACATTTTCATGTTAGCTACATTAGCACTTTTCTTGAAGTAAAACTCACCTAAGTAAATAAGTAATATTTTTTAAATAAAAAATATATAAAAATATTAACTATCAATCATCACAGATGGGGCACCTAACAGGCCAAATATGACTAAGGAGCAGAGTTGACCTTACCTGGGCAATCTGATCCTTCAGATCCTCCAAATCGCCCTCTAAACTCTTTTTGTCACCAAGAGCAGTAGCCAGAGCTGCATCTTTAGAATTCAGTGCTGCTTCATATTCTCGAAGCTTGATATGGGCTCCACTGAGATCAGATTCTTTCTTAGCGTAACTGTAATGCATTTGAAAAAGCACAAGACATCAAATAATACCCCACGACCTTAGATCGTCTCCTTTCCTGATCATTAAGGGGGAAACAAGAGAAGCAGTTTAAATAAAGGCTCTTATAACCTACCAAAATAAGAAGTGCAAGCACAGGAGCATTACACCTAGAGTTTTTGGTGGATAACTGTCTTTTAGTGATTTCCCTCCCACTACTGACCTTAGGTACCAGAATCCCATCTGTCCTTGCTCTGTAAAGAGACACTACATGTTTCACCAAGAAGACATTTTTTGGAGAAGTGGAAATTTATTATTCTTAAATACAATGAATATTACAAACCAAGATGACAGCAGATATAAATCAGGATATAAAATGAGATTAAATAAATGAAAAAGAAAAGTAATTCTTCAGAAGTAATATTATGACTTGATAATTTATCTTATAGAAAATCCTTTGGTAATATATACGAGCTATCTGATCCCAGTCTTATAAGCGCTCTCCATTTCTTACCTGAGGGGTGATAAGATTTCCCTAACAACAAAAACAAGGGCATCCCTAACATTTTCAAGAAAAATCAATTCCGTTTAAACAATTACCCCAAAATGAGGTTCAAATAGGTTTTTCTTCTAAATATCATTTGTAATTAAATGAAGCTCTACATTACAAAAATTAGCTTTCTTTGGTCATTAAGGAGGAAACAAGAGAAGCAGTTTAAATGAAGGCTCTCATAACCTACTAAAATCATTTATCAAGTAATTAGATTTTAAAAGACAGTATTTTTTTCTTCCAAATAATTTTGTCATCATTAATTAGTAACACTGGAAAAGCCTAAGAGGAGTACCAATATTCTCAATAAAAGTTCTTAATTTAAACTGATGCTGTGGGGCCTCCCCGGTGGCGCAGCGTGTTGAACGCCGCACTGTGAAGCTGTCCGCAGCCTCTGCGGCACCGGTACTAACACGGCCGGCTGGTGAGAAACCCACATGGTGCAGCAGACCTCTCCTGTCTCACCTGCTGCTCCCCCAGCAGTGTAATAGGTCTGTCTGCCTGTTCTGCTCCCCACTCTGGCTCTGGTGAATCCTCTCACCCTCCCGCGCCTCTAGCCTATACCCCAGTTTTTGTATAAATAAATCTTTAAAAAAAATAAACTAATGCTGTGAAAGAATATTTCTACTACTGATAAATTCGAATAAGCTACATAAGGAATCTTTAGCTAATAAAGTATTTTTAAATCTTATATATATATTTTTTAAATGGAGAAACTAAGATTCTCCGTATGGCCCATCCAATTTCCTAAGTAAGGTGGATCATGAAAAATTGTGAAGATAACATTCAGGTTTCTATCTGATAAGATGCCATGATTACATGCCACATGAGCAGCCCAAACCAAAATTACAAGGGTCACAAAATGAGTTAACATCTCAAACATCTTTTGATTTTTTTTTTACATCATTGTTCATTCTTAAACAATATTTACTACCCCCACCCCCTCAAGTGTGGCCCCCAGATTTTCCTTCACCAATGCACCCGTGCGCCATCACCACAGTCCCCTGTGCTCCTCCCCTGCAGTATGTCTCTAATTTATAATTGTCTGTTTTTGCTTTGCTGTGTTTTGTACTGTTATTTTTTTACACTGTCTTATTCGGTTTCCCTATATTCCTGTTATAAGTGAAACAGCCCAATTTTTTTTTTTCCTTCTGGCTTATTTCACTGAGCATAATTTCTTCTAGCTCCATCCACATTGCTGCAAATGGCATGAGTTTATCTTTTCTGACTACTGAATAATATTCCATTGTGTATATATACCACATCTTCTTGAGCCAGTCATCTATTTTTGGGCATTTGGACTGTTTCCAGGTTTTACCTATTGTAAATAGTGCTGCAATAAACATAGGGGTACAGGTGTTCTTTTTGAATCAATGTCAAACATAATCTTGCCCTAGTTTTCTAACTGTATTATTTTTATTCAAGAAATATGGTGCAGGAAGTCCAGCAGACACTTGCAGAACTGACATCCTAAAAATGCACCTGTGAGCTGACTACAGTCCTCACCTATGCACACAGTGACATGTGACAATGTCCCTGGGGGACAAAAAGAACTTCAGAATCCAAAGTCACCAGAAACTATGGGGGTTAGTGGGCATTTTTTTCTTCTTACTAAATCTCTTAACTGAATTTGTTCAGTGTTACTGACCTACCTCCTTTCCTACCTCCATATAAGGAGACCTTCCTGAGTTTTCATTTAAATACAACATGTCAACCCAAATGGTAGGAAAATGCACACTGCTAAATATTTAGCAGAGAACTACACTTGAGGGGGTGGTAGAAGTAAACATTGTTTAATGGGGATGGGGATGTAGATGTTTATAGAAGGGCCAAAACTCCAAGGAAAATGTTTTATAAAATGTAGTTGAGACTCTAAGAATTTCCTGCCCTAATAAAATTATCTTTCATGTTAAGTAATTGTGAATTTCATAAATTACTATCAAGAATCCAGGTGACCCTTAAAAAAACTAACCAACTAGAAAGGATCCATTCATATTCCTACAGCAGTAATTCAAGAGTAACAGACTGAGGCAGGTAGGGTACAGACTATTTTCCTAGGAGAACCTATCAACAGTAACTGTCTGGGACCTTCTTCTGAGATCTGGAGGAAAAACACAAACTCGGCCTCCACTTGCTACTTTCTGACTTACTCCTGCCTACCTCCCATTGCCAGCAACATCCTACTTCACTGCTTTCCTCAGCTTGATTTTTCAAGCCACTGACTCTTTGACATTGACTTATTACAGAATCAACCCTAATTTTGCATTGAACCACCTGGCTGTGGAAACCAGTGCCTGCTTCAACTCTGGTCTCTGCACTACCTTTCCTGTTTCAGTGACTCCATCACGCTCCCTGCAGACCCTTCATATGTGTACACACACCCCACTCCAGACTAACCCCGCCAATAGTTAAGCAGAGATTTTAAAAATGCACCGAAGTATACAATCACTGAAATGTGAATGCTCAACAAAACTCTGAGGGAATGTATGTTATTACTAGGTAATAACAATTTAAATAAAGACATACCCACAACACACATGAGCACAAGGAATGGTTCATGTTCAAGACAGGATCTATACACATGCCCAGATGTGGTTTAATTCTTTTACATGTGCCATTATTTTCCAAGTACTTTGTCCATGTTCTTTGATTTTCATAGAAATACAGGTACAAAGAGTTACATTAAACAATTCAATGTAATAGACTTAAATCAGAGATGGCCTCTTCATTATTAGAATTAGATACCTAGAAAAAGGTATAAGAAACTAGTGTCTGGACATTAAATTATTGTCATTTCCTGTAAGTGCATCAAAGATTAAACTTTTTAAAGTTACACATAAAAAAAACTAAACAAGAAATATTCAACCAGAAATACAAGTACCCAGATTTTTTACAATTGGCCTCACCAGTTGCAGGACAAAAGAATCGCTTAAGGAAACAAAAAGTGGATACCCTCAAGTCAGTTTCAAATTCCATTCATATTGTACAGGAAAATACCATACAATTCTGGTAGTTTGGCTCAATCCTAGCATTTCTGAGAAGCAATTATAAATTGTTAGCTTCATATTCTATAAGAACAGACACTCAAGAACTAGGGATTGAGAATTTCCCCTAAAGCACATACAGTAATCTCCTAAATGGAAATGAGAAGATGATGAGAGAACAAGGAGTGCCATGCTGATGATGTGCTTTGTCAGAACTATTCTTTTTTAGAAAAACAGATAAAACTACAGGATTAAAAGGGGGGAAAGGATGTGGTTTTTCACCTGCAATCAGATACAAACACAGAAACCACTGTGCATAATGGTTATTTCTAATCAAATCCACAAAAAGAACTTCTCAAGCCCTCCAAACAAGCTCACTCTGCATGGAGAGCCAGGCCAGTCAGACCCAGCTGGTGGGGCTCTGTGCTTTCATCTACTGTAAGGGTCTTCTGGCAGCTGTCTGGAGGCAGCTGAACCCCACTCAACACTAGTACAGTCATTCAAGTGACTATCAAATAATCCAGCTTCTGGGGCTTTCTTCAGAGTTCAGAACCAACATATCCTTTATTATCTAACCAGAGTCCACATTTTTAGCAAAATATATTTACTTTGAATTTAAGGTATTGTGTTCAAGTAAAAACCTTCCATCCTAAAACTAATCTATTTCAGAATAGATTCAAACTGCATATTAAATGTGAGTTAGCACCAACATTTATTCTTCAGCTTCAATACTGTACTTAAATTATCTTCCCTTCCAAAAGGATGTGATTCACAATATTTCTACAGAGAAAAAATAATAAACTTCTCTGTAGTTAAAGACAAATGTAATTTAATATACAAAACCTCCAGAAAGTCATGTGATCACAACTTAGATTGAAAAGGCACTTTTCTAGCACAAGCAAAAAGACTAATATGCTTTTGCATAAATTCAGAAACTGCCATTGATAATTTCTGGTTGTGTTAACATTCTGCAACAAACTAATTAGCAACAACCCAATCAGATTCAGGCAAACCCTAATTGAAATCAGATTAAAATTAGGAAAAATACTAAGACTGAAATGTGACCATACAACCATTTTTTTGAACAAAAGGAAGTCACTGTTCAGAGCATTCCGGGTGGCGCAAGGGGTTAGGATGCAACCTGTGAAGCTATTTGTAGCCACTGCAGCATGAGTTCAATCCCCAGCTAGGGAGGTGACCCACATGGTGCAGCAGACCTCTCCTGTCTCGCCCGCTGCTCCCTTCAGCAGTGTATTTCAGTCAGTCTGCCTGTTCTGCTCCTCACTCTGTCTCTGGTGAATCCTCTCACCTCCCCACACCTCTGGCCTGTACCCCAGTTCTTGTATGAATAAATCTTTTTTTTTAAAAAAAGGAAGTCACTCTTCAGTACATAGGCACAGGAGTAAAGGAGTGCACATTTATAATATCCCAAGTTCTAATTAAAAAATGACTGACTAGGGGGAAAAAAAACAACCAATA